TTAAATGCATAAAATTTTGTAATACTTTTCACATCTGCTAGCTTTCATGTAGTAAATATTTTTTTTTTCCAATCCTAATCGAAATGATGCATTTCTAATATCATAATTAAGACTTTGAAATGAAGTAATTTGAATTCTGATGTCATCTCTAGCTTCATTTTAAGCTTTTACATGCACTTTAAATAGTTGTAATTAAAAAAAAAAAAAAAAAAAAAAAAAAAAAAAAAAAAAGAAAGAAAGAAAGAAAGAAAATAATTACTCAATTAAATTTTGTTTGAAGATTTGAGTAGAAAGAATTTTCAAATTATTTTTAGCCTGAAACTTCAAAATCAATATTTTAGCGCAGCTTTGCATTTTGCATGCAAAATGGTTACCTTCCTTAGAGGAAGGGGGGGGGGAACTCTTAACTAACTTATTTTTAATGTTATTAAAAAGCAAAACATTCAATCTTATATTACTCATAATTTTTATATATTTAATTAATATGAGTTTGGTAATCCGATTAATGTCTATGGGTCACAAGTTAACCTGATTGTAGCTGACTACAGAAAAATTCAGTGAAATCTAATTGTTATTTTAAATTTAAAAAAAAATTGTAAAATTACTACCAAATTACCATATTGGTTGGCAGTGGACTGTGATGAGAATGAATGATTAAGCTTTGATGGTGAATTTTATTTTTTAGCTAATGTTTTATCTGCAACGGGGCTTTTCAACCAAAGTGAGTTTTATTGTTTCAGCGGGAATACTGGGGTCACTCTGAGATTTTTGAGATAAGCATAGCTGATAAGTGGCAAAAAAAAAAAAAAAAAATTAACGGCTAGAAAGAATGAACTATTTTAGCCTAGGAGACGATTTTTATTGGCCAATTGCAAGTAGCTTAAGAATCACTTTTAGGCAGAAGAAAAAATGGAATTGATGAAAGAACATGCTATGATTTTCTATGATTTTTTAAAGTGAAATTAAATCAAAAAGAATGCATTCAACATCTACAGTTAGCATTTGGAAACGAAGGTCCATCTTGTGCTACTGTATTTAGATGGTTTACAGCATTTCACCGAGGTCACAACCCTTTTCAGAGTGAAGAAGACATAGGAAGGCCATTTGCAGGAGTAATCACAGAAAATGTTAATCGTCAATAATTGCTGCACATACCAAATGACACAGAAGTAACTTAACATTGGATCCACTGCCATCCATAAAATTATTCATGAAGAATTGCATGTGAAAAAACTGCTTTGCCCATTGGGTTCCCAACAATTTAACTGAGCACCAAAAAGAGGAGCATGTCAGAATCAGTAAATAAACCCTTAAATTACTTAAAGATTGTGCCTGCTGCATTGTTTCTAAAATCTTAATTGGTGAATAAATGTACATACCATTTTTTGACGTTTCAACACAACGTCAAGAAAGTAATGTATAGGTTTTTGAAGATGATCCCATGCCACAATGATGAAAAGACAATGTGCCATGAAAAAAGGAATGTATGCCATTTCCTTCAGCAGTACAGGACTGGTTAAGCCATTAAGCTGGAAGAAGACAGTTACAGCTAGCTGGTACACCATCAAGTGTTTTCCAGAAATTCTTCAAGAAGTGAATGTTGGAGGACTCATTCTCCACTGTGACAATGCATCTTCTCATTCAGCAAGTTTGACAATTGAGTTTCTCGAACAAAAGCACATCAAAGTGATAGAACATCAACCCTATTCACCCGATCTATCTATGTGTGAATTTTGGCTATTTTTTAATCTAAAAAAGAGCTTTCATTCTGAAGATAAGATTGATAAAGCTATAAATACATTTTTCATCGATTCTGAGAAATGAATGGCTTGAGGCATTTAACCTTTGGCAAATTCGCCTACAGGAGTGCATTGATGCTGGAGGAGACTACTTTGAGCACTTCTATAATTTTGTAAGTATAGCATTGAAAACACTGCGTATCTAAAAAATTTCAGAGTGACCCTTGTATGATCAGCCTTTGATTAATTATTTAGTTTTAGTTTAGAGAATATAAAAAAAAACCTGCTTTTTTTCATGTTTTGGTATTTATCAACATTTTCTAGATTTTTTATGGTTTAACTTATAAACCATGTTAAAAATAGTCTAAATAAAGGCACCTCTTTTTTTTTTTTTTTTTTTTTTTTTCGTTTGGGAAAGGAGTGGGATTTGCACCATTGCTAGAAGATGATCACCTAGCAATGATGGAAAGGGTGTGTGAAGGAAACCCTGATCTACAATGCTTGGCACTAGTTCAAGATACATGAGCACATACAGTATTACCCAAAAACAAGTATATGAAATTTTTGTTTGGGTGAAAAGATTGCTTTGATTTTTTATACTTTTTTATTATCTCCCCTTTCAAGTTTCACTTTTCTAAAAAATTGAAAATATACCAAAAACAATCAGAATTGTATTTTTTGGGCCTATTTTCAAGTATGTATATGGTAATAAATAACCCTCGCATCTGGATATCACATACTTGCTTGTTTACATGCAGATTTATATGTTTTATACTTAACAGTTTTTTTTTTAAACTGTTTCTTTTGGCTGTAAAAATGCAAATAAAATTCCCATAGAAATTTTTATTTCTTACAAAGTGTTTCCTTTTTATTATTATTATGAATAAAACAGTACCTCTGAGCTGTCAAAATAGCCAGACAAGTATTTTTGCCAGTTCAAGAAGTTGCCAACTAATTTGTGATTTTTCATGGGTTGTGGATTTAAGTTAATAAATTAAAAAATAACGTTACTCATGGTCTTAAAGAAAAATCCCTTTTGTGTCTGTAAATTTTAGATGATAGACCTCACTGCTTTTATTTACATTTCATTTGTAGTTTTCTGATTCAGAGGTTATATTTGAATCTTAAATGATTATTATTAAACTATTTTATTTCTAATCATTTTAATGTGACATAAATCATTTTTTATTTATAAAATGAAGGATGTGTAATGTGTTGTATACAGAGAATTTTAGAGGGAAATTTTATAATGCGGAGCAATTTCACCTTTTACTTTCATATGTGCTCTGAGAATTCTTTTACCAAGACCTTTCTATCATACAAAATCATACAAACTATTTTATTTATAATCATTTTAATGTGACATAAATCTTTTTATTACTATGGTTGAAATAAAATATTGATACAAAAGAGGAAATCTTAGCTGAGTTTTAACTTTACACCATATGTGCTCTTAGAATTGCTTTTACGAAGACCTTTCTTTTACCTTTCTTCTTTCTTCCAAGATTTTTTTTAAAGTTTTCTAATCTCAATGGAGATTATGATCTTTAAAGTTGATTTCAATTGTTGTTATAGAGACATATTAAGTTTAGCATCTAAAGCTATCCATTGAATCCTATATGAGCAAGCACATGTTAAAGTCAACAGAAATCATTGTTATAATCCATGCATGTGAATTGGCTTTTATAAAAATCATACAAAACAAAGCATACTGTTTATTGTAATATAATGATTCACAACCTTAATTAGCAATACTTTTAATACCGAAATGAAAAATTAAAAAAAAATCCCATTTAGTATGGGTTTTTTAATTTATGCAATTTAAGTTCAAATGTTTTAACTTTTTATTTTTATTTTTCAAGAAATATCGTTAAGTTTTTATTTTAGTTATTATTTATCTGTTATAGAACTGTAAGTATATAACATTTACACATCCCAAATTAAATCCAATATATATATATTTTAATAAAAAAAAGGATGTTTGAAATCTAGCAAAGGTCGTAAAAATATTTGTGTATCCTATCAAATTCCAGAAAAATCATGCAAAATAGTGAAAGATAAAATTAAAAAAATGCAATAATTCCTATTTAATCTACATAAAGATAAAAAACGTGCACATATAAATAACAAAGTCATTCTTCCCTGCTCAAAGCTTCAACCAAAACTTGTCAAAGAAAAGTTCTTGATGCCTTCAACCAAGTTGATTAACTAAGAGCATGCAAACACGTTTCATCAAGCAAATGCATTGAGACTCGAAACTGTATTAATCGTAATCTATTTTCTTTTCAAACTAAAACTAACAAAAGTCTCAATAATTTGCCCCTTTCCCAATGTGTTTGCGTGTCTAAATATATTCAGAGTAAAAAATTAAAAATTAATCAACAAAGTAGTACATGAACGCTAAAAATTAAAAATTGTTTCAATCCAATGGGCCTGCCCTTAATTTTATATTTAAATATGACTTTCAGGTTTTATTTTTCATTTCAGAAAATCCCTGAATAATTAGACATGTACATTAGCCTTACTAGGCCACTTTGTATTTGATGTTTCATTTTATTGTGTTTAATTCTTAATTTTTAATTTTAATTTTTAGTGTTCATGTACTACTTTATTTGTTGATTAGTTTTTAATTTTTTTACTCTGAATGTATTAAGACACACAAACATGTCAGGAAAAGGGGCAAATCTATTGAAACTTAGTTTTAGTTTGAAAAGAAAATAGATTACGATTAATACAGTTTCAAATCTCAATGTATTTGCTCAACAAAACTTGTTTGCATGCTCTTAGTTAATCAATTTGGTTGAAGGCTTCAAGCACTTTTCCCTTGATAAGTTCTGGTTGAAACTTTGAACAGGGAAGATTGACTTTGTTATTTCTATGTGCACGTCTTTTACTTTTATGTAGAGTCGATAAGAATTATCACATTTTTTAAATTTGATTTGTCACTATTTTACATGATTTTTCTGGAATTTGATACACAAATGTTTTTACGACCTTTGTTAGGTTTCAAACCTCCTTTCTTATTAAAATCAACTTTTAAAAATCAGCAGCTATAAGTGCTATTTTTGTCCTACTAGGTCACACAATTTTTAATACCTTTTTCTATTTTTTACTATATATAATATATACATATATAGCTGGAAAATAGGTTTTCACATATAGCAATTAATACCTTTGCATGTACTAAATGAAACTCTTTTTCTGCAGTTTGCTTTGAAAAATTTACACAAAATTATGAAGTATTTATTTTAATTATTTCAGTAAAACCTGAATTTGTGAAGAAATTAACAGATGTAGAAGCTCTGGAAGGAGATTCAGGCTTTATTTTGAATACCACAGTTAAAGGCTATCCTCCACCTACTGTAAAATGGTAAGCACATAAGCATTTAATTTTTTTTTTCCTATTTATACTGTTGTAATAGCTTAAAGTTTATTTTTATGTGTGACTTTAAATTTTATGTTTTATTCAGTTTCATTTATTGAATGATCAAAATTGAGTTAAAATTTATTTTAGGAAGTTCGTAAAGTGAATATATTAATTGATTTTTCTCTGTAGGATATTAAGTGATGAAATCTTGGTGGATGGCAAAGACTATGGTATATCCTCAGAGATGGAAAGTGGAAGTCATACTTTGAAACTGAAGCGAGTAAACAGGAATAATAGTGAAAAGTATGTTTGTGAAGCTACTAATGAAATGGGCAGTGCATCTACTAGTGGGACTTTAACTGTCAAAGGTAATGTCTAAATTTCTTGTCATTTTAAAGTTCTGTATATATTTATAATTACATTAATTATTATATTCTGTCTGACAGAGATGGATAAGAGCATTGGGAATTTGAGAAATTTTCTCAAGATGCCAGTAGATGCAATATTGTTTTGTCATCTCATATCCACTATTTAACATGCTGACGGTGGTGCGGATATTCATTGTTCTTTTCGTGCAGCAGCAGTTGAATTAGCGGACTGTTTTGTGCGGCTGACACTGTTTTCTTTTTTTTTTTTTTGTACAATGATGCTAAAAAAGGAGTTGATCTATCTGACCAAATAACTTCATATTATAATTGTTTATGGAGAACAGTGAAGTGTTACAGAAAAATTGTTAACAGCTGATATGTGGAACATCTCTCGTGAATGCATGGTACGTTCATATAAAATGAGGAACTAAGTGTATTAAAATTTTAAAATTTATAGAAAAAATTATTGATCAACTGTTGATGGATATTGTGATTCCCCTAGCAATAATAACATCCTTGTAATAATAACAAACAAGAAAAAACATTTTTTAAATTTGTTCGAAGGATCGGCGAGAAAGACAAGAAAGTGATGAAAAGAGTGCTATAAATGCTTAGCAAGCCTAAAAGGTACTCAGTATGCCACAAATAGAGCAAAGAAAGTAACAACATATTGCGATAATTGTAAGTGCAAGCCAGCACTTTGTTTAGCCTGCTTTAAAAAACTGCATAGAAAAAATTAATAATTATATTTAATTTAGGAGTTACATTTTAAATTATTTGTTTTGTATTGGATGTTTAATTATAATGTTGAAATGTTAATGTATACTGTTGACTAATTAAAATAAAATAAAATTTTGTACTACGTATTTTTTTATATACAAGCGTGACCTATCAGTGAGTCATGCCGGCCCTCGGAACGATCAAACATGACCCACCGGTGGGTCATGCCGCCCCACAGAACAGACAAGTAGGACCCACCAGTGGGTCAGGCCGACATCAATGTGTTAATATATATATTAATCATAATTACAAGATTCATACAGCACAAAACAGTATACTCATAGGGGAGAAAAGAGGACTTTTAGTGACACTAAAAAATATAATTCACCTGTGTGGTGACCGGGTGTGAAAGAATAGTCCCAGTGTAGCTCATGCATGTTGTAAAAGATGACTAAAGGCGATGGGTACCCAGTGTTTGGGGGTATAGCCGGACACTCTGTTCCTAGGGTTTATATCAGGGGACTGGTTCTCCAGGTTGGGGATTGGACGTGGGGCGAACTACCCCACCCCGTAAAAAATCTTACTGCTAAGAAATCCAAAGATAGAATGTACCAGACTGCTTCTACTGGAAAACGACTTGGAAATAGCCTAAGGACTTTTCATTTTGGAACCTGGCTGTATAAATCCTTTAAAGAAATAGATATAGTAAAATATATACGGATTCTGAGAATTAAATGGGCAGGACGCCTGTGCAAAATGGATGAAAATCTAGTAACTAAAAAGATCTTTTCGGCCAGACCATTCGGCACTCGAAAAAGAGGGAGACCTAAACTCAAGTGGCTTGACTGTTGGGAAACAAATTGAAAAATTTTAAAAATAACCAAGTGGATGTCCATGGCCAGGCATAAAAGAGCTTGTAGTTCGATTCTGAGGAAGGCTAGGGCCCATCCTGGGCTGTCTGGCTATTGAAGAAGAAGAAGAAATAAAATTGAGCAAATGATAAATTAATGATAAATATCTTAGACTCAATTCTATCATTGTTAGCTGGGAGACACCTCTATAGTGATGTTTTCCATAGGCATGCTATCATCTTTAAGTTAACCATTATTCACCCAGACAGAAACCTTTATCAGTATGTGCTGCCACAAAGGTGTTTCTTTTTTTTTAAATTATAAACTGAACTTAATATAAAAATACAGGCATTTTTAGACTTGCTTATGAAGGTTTATGCTATGTGCAAAAATGCAAAGTCATAATAAATCATTATAACTTTGTTTTAGATACAAAATATAGAACAATAATAGGTATACAAAATACAGGATTTGTTTGGCTTGTTAAAGTAGAATCAATTCAGAAAAGAATGGTTTAAGTTAAAATACACGATTTGTTCTAATGATGTTTATTTAGGCAAATTCACGTAATCTGTGTAACATTATATGAACTCCCCTAATAGTGTTTAAACTGTGAATTTGTTTGTGTTAGTTTTAAGAAAAATTTTATTTGGAGAATATTTCATCAATGTCATTGTATTTTTTTGTCATTTGTATGTTACATTTTTAATAAATAGAATACAAATTATTTGCATAATGAAGCGTGAAACCAATTTATTAAACAAAATAGAAAATATTACATAAGCATGATTAAGGATTTAGACCTATTAAATGTACTATTTCCAAAGCACTTGGCTATATTAAAAGTATTATTAAATTTTCTTATAATATTTGCCATTTTTTGAAAATATTTTTTGTTTTATTATATCATATTCAATATTCTGTTGCATAATTTATCTTTTAATATAATTTAAAACAAAATAAGTGACTGAGGTATGCCTTTGTAATTATAAATAACTTCCTTAAAATCTCAATTAAAAATGTGTATTATATTTTATGTCATTGGAAAATCACATGTGCCATTTCAACAAATATCATTTTACGCCCTCATTTAAATCAATTGGTCGCAAATTGTGCACTACAGTGTTTTGAGTATGCAGGTGGTAGCATATAAGGAACTGCAAAATACTCCAATATTTTCATAAAAATTATACTAAATTCACAAAGTTCTAAAATCAAACTACCGATGTGCGAGTTCTGTGAAAAAAAGAACATCAGCACACACTGTACAAACCACCTGTAAAATTATCAAATGGCTTAAAAATTACTTTCAGAGGGAAATATGGACAAGTTTACATGGATTTAAGATCTTTTAAGAGCCAAAGCTCCATTTGAGCTCACTTCTGTAGAAGAAAATCTTATTGAGCTGCCTTGCAACAATACACTGAACAAAAATTCAAGAACAGGAAATTAATTGACTTTTGGATACCATTAAAATATGAATAGTTTATGTGTGACACCATATTTATGCAAAGCTGGGTTATTGGTAATTGCTGAGATAAAAAGCAAATATTGCAAGAAAAATCAATGTGAAACAGGAAATGAGGTGCAATGCCCAACTTGAATCCATGATTTCAAAAGATGTGTTGTGGAAAAGCCTTTAAAAATATGCATTCAGCACTTTTCCCACTAAATCTGCTTCATTTATTCAATGATATGATTGTTCAAAATGTGTATATACAGTAAAAAGTCGTTAATCCGGACTCTTCGGGACTTCGGCGATTCCGGATTATCGATTTTTTCCAAATTATAGATCATCTGTTTAAATCTCGTAAGATGGCATGCAGAAATTCTAAAATTAAAAATATGAAAATGTAATTTATGAAATAAAGAACAATTATGATCTAAAGGGTATCAAAATTTACAAAAAAGAAGCTTAATATTTATTTGTTTACTTTATTAAACATTTCTTTCAATGTAAGTTGTTTAAGTTGCTTCTTTTTATGTGATAATACTTTCTCTTTAATTCTATAAACAGACATAATTTCTTGTTCAGTTACAAAGTTCCGCTGTTCAAGTCCCGTAATTGCTGTGCTGAGAATACCGACTAACTTGCCAATCGAAATTTTTTCATTTTCACTAACCTCTCTGTCACCTTCTTCATGTCTTTATCCATTTTTTGCAGCAATTCCACTTTTTGTTTGATGGACATTGAAACATACTTTCGTTTTGTAGATCCATTGGGAGCTCCAGCATCGGAAATTCTATTTGACATAATCGAAAGTTCAAGTTTACTTTTATAAAATTGCTCTTACAGTCTGCAAAAAATAATAAGCCGGATCCAATTCGAAGATTAAGGAACAACGCAATCATCAACATTAACTGAAATAATTTTAGCTTATACCGTCCGTTATATATAAAACGCGCACGTGAAAACGTATTCTGCGCAGTCGTAAAGGTCTTATATGCACGCATAAACACCTATGTGCATGTGCAGAAGGTTTTTAGCTTTGAGGTGTGGATTATAGATCATTCGGGATTATGGGTGTCCGAATTAACGACTTTTGACTGTATTTATTATTGTTAAAAATGTATTATTGTTATTATTATTATTGCATGTTATGTAAATTGTTTTTGATTTTGAAATACATCTTATTTAAAATTTATCAACCCATTCATATACATTGCCACTGTAACTGTTAAGAAGAGCTTATGTTTAAAAACGTTTTGGGGGCCATTATACACTAATGATGCTGTGAATCAAAAATGTTTGGGAACTACTGATTTAGATAAAAATAGGGCTACTGTAGATGATTCATCCGAATTCAAGATACTGTAATTTCAAATGCATTATAATGATTATGCACTAAAACAAAGAGAAACTTGCTAAATTTTGTTAAATCATTATAAATGTTTCATGTGTGTTTCGTTGGTCACACGAAACATGTCTAAGCTATGGTGAAGCTCAAAGTTAAATAACCTTTCATTGCATTAATTACTCTGTCAGTAGTCATCACAACAGAGCTGATGCATTCTTTAGCTTTACTGATACTGTTGACAATAATGTATGTAGTAATCGTTAGTAGGAAAAAAGGTATTTTTGAAAGTAAAGAAAGAAGATGCTTAATATTAGATCATTAAAATGAGGGACTATGTTATATCTATATTTATAGTTACCATGTAGTTTTAAACATCAACTGCATTCAAAGCAGTAAGTTTTGTTTTAATTGTTTTTCTTACAAACAGTTTTATTAATGCAATAACTAAAATATTTTGTGATCATATTTTCTTTATCCGCATACATATGAATATTTAATGAATTTCTTATTATATTTAAATATTACAATAATATAAATTTATTCAAAAATTAAAGCAGGAAATGCAACAATCAGAAAAACAAAATAAATTTATTCATTATTATTTATTTATATTTTCAAATTTATAGAAAATTATTTATTTGAATATTGCAACAAAATAAATTTATATTTATTACAAAATTATTTTAACCCTCTGGCTGATCATCCCGCAATTTCCACAGGCAACTCAAATGTAGCAAAATTTGCTTATCCTACGATTTCTGTGGGCATATGTTTTTCTTCCTTTATTGAGGAGCGCATCCCGTTTTTCCCCCGTTTAACCATTGAAATAAATTATATACAGTATTAGCGTTTAGTTTACATTTTGGCCAACAGATATCGTTAGTTCATCATAGCTCTATTGCAGCATTTGAAGGCATGTGGTATTAGCGCTCAAACTTCACTTTTTGCTGCTTTTTTCCTACAGAAATGGCTGCTAGAAAACGTTCAGCGATTATCTTGATTATTTAATTAAATTATTGAATTATTAATTAGATTAATAATTAAATTGATTATTAATTAGATTTATTGAATCTGGTGCAAAAACTGTGAAGTTGGACTTTGCATTGAACCCTGTTTTGAACTCTATCATACTAACTGCATTTCTAAGGTATTTTTCCCTCGGCGCTTTATATTTTCTTAAATTTTATGCATTTTACTTTTTTATATTATGCAGTAAATAGAAATTAACTGTAATTCAACTGAAATTTGTTTTAAAAAAAGATTTTTTTGGTGATAACATCTGAAATTGGTTTTTCTGGCAACTTAGTTTCTCATGATAAAAATCTATATAAAAATATTTTCTAGAAAGAAAAAGTGCATTTTGCAATTCTCTAATGTATATAGATTTAAAATATGGAACAAAAATTACACAATTTTGGAAGCGATTTCGGTCCACAAATTGAGCAGTAGCACAGCACAGCATGTTTAAAAAAAATCAGATATAAATCATTCTTCTATCAGACTGAAAAGTATGTTTTCGTTATACATTATATTAAGGGTTAATTATTATTATTTATTTATTGTAAAATGTATATAGTTTTTTAATTATCAGCTTTATCAAATTTTAAGAATTTTAAGTGCTGTTGAACTGTTTTCCAACTCTGGACATAATTAACCCATCCACCTTATGCAGAGTGATGGAATACTGGAAAAATTGGTAAAACTGAATAATAAGCTCCTAGCTCTTTTTTTTGTCTGCATTCAACTTGATTTCAGTTCTCTCAAACTTGCATCCAAACTTCCTACAGCTCTTTCTTAACTTTTGCTGTATAATATATTTATGATGTAAAATTTCCATTTTAAAAATTTCATTCATTTGCATTTTTCTAGTTGTTAAGAGATTGAAATCTTTAAAAAATAACCAACTTTCTATTTAATTATGGAAGTTAGATTACATATTTATGTATATTTTATGAGGCCTGTTTGTTAATTTTCACTAGTAACCATTCTCAAGCATAAAATAATTTTTGATATTTTTAAATATCTGGGAAATAAAAATGGGCTTTTTAAGTTATGGAACATGTAAACAACACACCAGTTTTGAATGATAAAAAATAATATGAAATTTAGGTGCTTCTGTTGGGGGGTGTAAATAATTTTTTCCATTTAAAAAGTCCTTGTAATTAAGTCATCCCTTTTTATCCTCTTTTGTAATTGAAATTGCTCAGCTACATAAAATAACATATAATGAAAACATACTTTTCAGTCTGATAGGAGAATGATTTATATCTGATTTTTTTGAACATGCTGTGCTGTGTTGTCAATGCATCTTTTTATTTATTAAATTTTAATTATTTTAATGTTTATATATTTAGCAAAGTGAAAGGTAATTTTTAGATGCAGTCATTTTATAATAAAAATACTGATTTTTTTAATCACTTATACTTTTACTCTCTTTTTATTGTTATTATTTTTTATTTCTGCAGACCTACTTTTTATTATCATTTATTTACTGGGATATAAATGCATAATAGTGATGTACATTGATATGAAATTTCTTTTAAAAATTTCACTTTCTTTTCCTTCCCTCAGTTACAAAGAAAAAACCAGAAATAGATGTTGGTTTAAAGGGTTTGCAGCTTGTTGAAGGAAAATTGGGAAAGTTGGTGGCCAAAGTATCTGGAGAGCCCAAACCTAAGATATCTTGGTATGTGAATTAAAATTATCACAAATATATGAAAAATATAGTAAATGTGTTCATTGTGAGTAAATAATGCATTTTCTTTATTATAATTATTTATGCACAGTTTCATAGCCTTGCATTTATTTTTTATTATAAATATATAAGATTTGCTTTCTCTTGTTATGAAGCATTTTTCTTTGAAAGTGCTTAAGCCAGGAGTTCAGAATGGGATCAGTATTGATTTCTTTGGGGATCAATGAAATTTTAAAGGGGTTTAGTGATGCTCAAAAGGTTGTTAGCCAAATATTTACTGGCAGTTGATGTGCATAATCAAGATTCCAGTGATTAAAAAAAAATTATTAATAAAATTGATAGTACAGTAGCTGTTGCAATAAAGCCGTATCATAGAGTAAGGAAGAAATCATATACACAAAAATATGAAGAACTACAAAGAACGCAAAACTTGAATGAAAAACAAGAAGCAGGTTGAATATTTTTAAGTGAAGCGATTTAAAAGTTAAATTAAGCAATTTTGTTCCAAATATTGGAAAAATTGCATCAATACACGAAGCACAGCCATCACATTAATTAAAATCAAACTTTTGTGCAGTTAGAATGCGTGATTTTTTTTTCTGAAAACTTGTTTTCTGTGTAAAATTAAATAATAATGCAAAAAATAACTAAACATAAAACTAATAAGCTATTTTTCAAAACGTTTTTTCATATTCATAATCTAAAAGTGTTATTTTTAAGCTATTTATATGCAGTTATTTGTATTATAGTTATGTTGTGTACTATATATTATACAGAAAATTTTAAGGAGATTGATAAAGAAACATTCCGTCAAAAGTTTAAACCATTGCATTAAATACTGTAAGAGACAGATGTACTTTTTTGTTTTCTCTGTTGGATATTGTATAAATTGTATTGATAACATAGTCATAATACAAATAATTGCACAAAAATAATGTAAAGTTCAGAACTAGATTAAAAATATGCATAAAATTTCGAAAAAATTATTTGTTATATTTTTGTTTTGATCAGCTTATTTAAAAATATTCATCCTGTTTTTTGTTCTTCATTCTAATTTTGTATTCTTCATATTTTTTATGTGTTTTCCCATGTTTTTGCATTTTACATTTTTTATATTGCACTTATTGCATCTAAAATTTATATATTTTAAAGAAATGTAAGATTTATTTTTTAAATTAAACATTTATTTATAATTTCAGCCTTTACTGTAACTTTTCCTGTCCATTTTCTTACCAGAATGTAAATTGAATTGGAGAATGGTTAAACTGAGGTTTTGGGATTTTAAAACAAAGCATGTTTCTACCTGCTGGGACATGTTACTTAGTTCTTGCCATCTCTGATAAGATTGTAATTATTTGGCTCTGTGTTATCTGCTTGCATTTAAATTTGATGCACCAGTTAGAGTTTTTGAGCCAGGTTAAATTTAATTAAAAAATCTTTGGTTTCTAGTCTGTGTTTTAAATTTGAATTTGTCTATTACTTTAGTTACATTGCCACAAGTGGTAGTTGATTCTATTATTACCAGAAATGTGTTCATGTCCAAAGTTCTGTTTTAATAAAAAAATTGTTAAAATCTTTTCAAGTCACTATCGTTACTTCAGACAGAATGATAATTTTCTTTATGTTGACAGGAGTTTGTAACTAGTTTATGCTTCCAAAGTAAGCTACACTCTATAGAAATATTATTATTTTTAAAAATATGTGAAATAATTTTAGTGTATTTTCCCCAGTATATTTTGTATTTAATAATTTTAATGTATTTATATTTATTTTGCATGATTTCTTATTAAATGATGTAGCTTTGTATCAATAAATAATTAGTTATCAATTTTATTAATAAATAATTTTGTAATCGATTGAATCTAAACTGCGCTGATCAATTATCAGTGTATCTTTGGCTACTGATGCCAAGTTGAACCCTTGGTAATCACTGATCCCCTTTAAAATGCCATCAATGCTGAGGGGGTTAGATACTGGTGCCATTGGAAACCCATACTTTAGAAGTGTAATGTTTGTTCTACAATGTGTATTTAGATTATTTACTGCCTTATGAATTGTAATAAAGCTTAGTTTGTAAGATCATACTCTTTTCACTATCATGCAAGTGTCAAGATCTTAGTAGGAAGCCTAGTGACACAGGCATGAAGAATAACAGCACAGAAGAAGGGTGCAAATAGCCCTTTTATTCTCAAACTCTTTAACCAAAAGGCATGTATTTCATGCTCATAATAACTACTTGGGGTTAGGAACTTAGGGATAATTTAACAGTAATTTCAAAATGGTAAATAGTAGTACTGGACTCCACAATTTACTTAAAGCTAACAGGCTGATTCAATAACCTGCACTTGCCTTTAAAATTTATAAAATGAATTTTTATTGAAAGAAAAGAACATAATGAGCCCTATCATAAGTGTATGTCAAGTGCAATTCAAAGATCCAGATCTGGAATCATTGGTACTTTGGCAATTCAGGAGTTCAAAAATTTATAGATTTTAGGTGATTAATTTAAATCTACTAAGATGACATGTACAGATGTTAACATTTGGAAATCACTTATTGTTAGGTGAGAACGAAAAATGCTAACCCTCCCCACAACCAGTCAAAGGCTGAAAGTGTGATCCTGGGCAACATCAATTTGTTGTCATTGGGCGTGGTGGGATTCTCTAGTCAGCAGATGTTTGAAAGTGGCATGTAGGAATGTTAATAAACCCATAGAACAGTTGCATACTCCTGCTTCTTTTTATTGAATATTATATTCTTCATTCCTAGACTTTGAAAGGGGATTTTTTAAAATTATTTTATTCTGTTTATTTATTTTTTTGGATGGTTGTCCAGATATCTGGATATATGATTATTTTGGATATTGGACATCTGGAATTTTGACTTCTAATTGAGAATTCATTGCTCAGAGGAGACCCTGTCGTACAAAATATGCTTTCTCTTTTAGCTTTTGATAAATTTTATGCTTAATTTTCAGATTTGACTTAATTGTTATTTGTAACTGAGATTACACATGTACTGGAATCATGTAAGCAAATGATTGAATAGAATTTCTTGCATAACAGTTATTTGTTAATGCTATGTAATTGCAATAGTAAGAAATCTTTATTGTTTTAGTACACTTCATACGGGAAAAAATGTAGCAAAATAATAAGCCTAATTGAAAACAAAATAGAAAACATTTATTATGCATTAAAACAGCTTATTTAATGCAGCTGCATATTTTGAATGTTATTATTTATATAAAAAGTATATGTATTTTATGTAATTTATCTAAAATTTAAATGTTAATAATAATAGCTGACATTTCAGTTTATTAATTAGTAGTTGTTTTTATGCTATTTCATTACCTTTTTAATCCATTAACCGCCAGAACTACAAGGAATGATTCTTTTCTCATGAAAATAGTAACAAATATTAAATAAAGTATTTATAACATAAATTTACATTGAAAAAAAAATGCTCTTACCTGTGTAAAAAGCGAGTGTTGCGTTCACACAATGTCAGCGGAATAAGACTACGGATGTTTAGTGAATAGGATTGTACTCGTGCGATGTTTCCTTTGAGTGGAGCACTAGATTACTTTTTAACTGTGTAACATTTTATAAATCTACAAATCACTTTACTTTGTAATCAATTTAATATTAAAATATATGCTGTATTTCTTTTACAAATACAGATTCTTTCAATTGAAAGATTCAAGCATGAAAAGCTTCACTATTATCATGATGTAAAGCTACATTACATCTATAAACAGTCTGGCTATGGCACTCTTTACAATGAAGTCTTTTGTTATCATCGGACTTTACAATAAAATGTCTACTATCTCCATGCAATGGTTTTTGACTGCTGAATTTACTAGGTCTTCCTGTTGCTGATCTATTTCTGGCTGATTCTACACAATATGAGTTTGCAAAAGGAATAATGCAACCTCGTGTCTGAAATCTAAAAGAGACTTTTTATTTCCAGTAGTAGAAATTCGTGATATTTTCCATACATTTATCAAGGCTACATTCATGTAACTAGTAAATATTGGCCACCACCATTTTTTGCCACGAATTCTTATTCTGTAATTAGCTACTAAATTGTCATATAAATCGACTCCACTTATTTTGGCATTGTATTGTTCAATAAGATGAGGCTGAGATATAAAAATCTTTTCCCTTTGCGTTTTTGAACAACGGGAAACATTTTTTTATGGGCTGAATGTTTCCAAATGTTGAATCAACAGTTCCAAATTGTCATTTCATTGGACAGAAATTATTTTGTTTTTCTCTTTATACTGGAAATCATAATAACCCCTATTTTTCTTACGGACACATTTCACAGTTTCTAGTGGGCACATTTGTATGCAATTTTTCCTGAATTGTTCCTGTAGCACTGAAACCTTTATTTTTTAGATGCCAGAGAAGCTGAAATGATGTAAAATAGTTATCAAAGTAAATAGCATGATTGGCGGGAGTTTCAACAACAGTGAGCAAATTTATCACCACACTTCTTCAAGCCCAAATTCTTCATATTCTGGTAATTTTGGAGCTGTCGATTTATCTGAATAAATATCAAAATGAAACACATTTCTGTCAGTTGACGCCAGAGTCCATGTTTTGTATCCAAATCTTATAGGTTTCTCTTTTAAAATCATCTTTGCTGAATGTTTGCCTCAATAAAAAATCATTTGCTCATCAATACTCGGATCGTGGGAAAATATACCAAATTGTTGAAATTTCTCATTTAGTAAGTTTAAATACAGTCTCACCTTCTATAATTTATCAGTATTGTCAATTTGGCTATTGTCAGTTAAATGCAAATTCTGTTTCATATTCCTGTACTGCAAACGTGACATTGATTCTTGTACAATAGGAACAGAAATGTCCTTATCAAGAGACCAATACATTTCTTCTTGAGGTAAAAAATGATATCCCATAAGCAATAATATTCCAATAAATCTTCTCATATAGGCTTCAGATGCAATAAATTCTGGGTGATTCTTTTTTTGTTGAGCATATATATTTGTCTGTTCAACGAGAAGAGAGTAAATGTCTGAACAAAAAAGAAAATCGAAAATCTCTCCACTAGTTTTACCTTGTATTTTGTCTTTTATAGTTTCTTTCCTATCTCTTTCTTCATTTTGTTCCTGAGACATAACTGATGGTTCCTTTTTTTATCCATTTCAAGTTTTCAGTTTTCTGCTTTTTAAACTTTTTTCTATGACTGCCACTGCTTTTAGAAGGCTGAAACTTTTTTCTTACATGAATTTCAACTTCCCCAGCAGTATCATTTGGTAAAATATCATTATCATTATTTAAAACATTGTCATTCCCTTCTTCTTGATCACTAGCTTCTGCAATTTCTGGGAGAACAACAACAATATCAGTTTCATTCTGGTCATTATTAATATCTATCATCAAAAAATCTTTGATGGGTTTCTTCTAATGTAAGATACCTCATTCTAGGCATTTTTAAAGCAGCCAGAACATTGAAAGGAATGAATAAAACAGGAGATTACCCATTTCCTGCTGGAGATTACCCGTTTCCTAAAATTGAAATGTTAATAATAATAGCTGACACTTCAGTTTAATAATTAGTAGTTGTTTTTATGCTATTTCATTACCTTCTTAACCTATTAACTGCCAGAACTACAAGGAATGACTCCTTTCTAATGAAAATAATAACAAATATTAAATAAAGTATTTATTTAAGAAAACAGGTGTTGCGCATCAGCACAACACCTGTTTTCGCTTCCTTTCCAACACAAATTTAAACATTGGAATGATGTAATGTTCTGATAAACTGTGACCTTGACTAAAAATAGATCAGTCATAGGATGGGGATTCTTTTGTTAAATATTTCCAGCAAAAATACCCGTTAAATATTTCCAGCAAAAATACCCCATCGAAAATTTTGCATAAAGTATGAGATTAATTATTATAAACAAAATGATTGTTGAAGGCAAATATTTTTTTCGGAAATAATCTTCATAATATTCCCTACATAAAATCATCTGCCGGTATGCATCTTGGGTAGTAATATTTATATACACATTTATTTTGACCAATGCAACACCAGCTAATGGGTTAAAACAGAGTTCCATAGAAATAAAGATAATAATATATTCCTTTAATTCAGAACCATAGACTTGTGATGTTGCAAAAGGCCATTTTATTAGTAACTGATGTTAATTGTGTTAGTAAAGTTATAAAAATTTGACAGTTTCCCTCCAGTTATTTGAATAATTTAGCAGTACCTAAAAAAGGACATTTGGTTCAAAAACATTATGGAATTATATGATTATATTAGGATAAATATGTTTATTGAATCACATCTTATTACTGCCATTTAATCATTTATTACAGTTAGATTTTGTAATATGCTATTTGATGTTTTACAGTGCTATAATCAGTATCTTTTTTCAGTACTTGATATCAAGTTCATTTATGATCAAAATCAAATCATGGGAAATTTTTTGTAGGTTAAAAGATGGAAAACCAGTGACTCAGAATGGGCGCATTTCAATAGAAGAAGCAGAAGATGGTACAATATCTCTTATAATTAATAATGTTACACCTGAAGATGCAGGAGTTTATTCTGTTGTGGCTGTTAGTGATGATGGTGAAGCAACGTCTGAAGCACCGATCACAAGTAAAAGCTTTGTGTTTAATTTACAATTTTCAAAATATTAATTTCATGTAATTTTCATAGCTATGTATGAAGAAAGACAGATTATATATGATGTATACATATGTGCATGTGTGTGTGTATGTGTATATATATATTACATACACACACTCACACACAAATAAAGTGTTTAGAAAATATTGCTGTAGGAAATTGTGTAACCAGAGCAGTTTCTGCTTAAAGTAGCTTCTGAATTTATTGCTCTTCTCATTATACATTAAAAACATTACATCCCTCAAAATGATGTATAGGGAAATAAAGTACTATATTTATTTTTTAAGTAAAACTTTAATTCCTACATTCCAAATGTTATTTTTCATGTTTTACTGCTAACAGAATCATTTTGTTACTGAAGTCTATTTCATGGTTCAGTCACTGTTTTATATCCAGTATTATCAATGAAAAAGGTACTTAACTATTATCACAAACACCTTAGTAGAAGTCACCAAACTCTGGCAACAATGCACGTAACAGTTCTTTAAGTAACCATAGCCATTATAAACTGCAATCCTAGAATTCAGCAAATCAACTTTCTCTTCTGTAAAAAATCGGCAGACTGCACCAAGGTGGTTGTGCTAATATGTAAGTACCATGAAAAGATCCATTTATAAATCAAACAGATATTTTCTTATAAGTTTTTATTTATTTATTATTTTCCTTAACACTTACAACAATTATGAGGAAAACTCACAGCTGCATTACAATATTCGGAACTGTGAATAATATTCGGAATCATATCTTAGAGCAGCCAGGTGAGGTACAAGAATTCTAAAAGTATGAACCTTTGATTTTTAACATCATGATGAATCATTAAAAAAGAGGTAATAGTAAAGAGCAGAACATTTAATTCAAATTAATGTTATAATTTGTAGTAATTTCAAAGCTGATCTAGCACTTAAAAATTTTTAGTGTTTAGGATGCCCATAAACAGATCTAGTGCTTTCTTCATTTCAAATATTAAGCCTGTGAGCAGCATGATCGGCTTTATCCGATCATGAGGTTTTTTTGTCACTAGGTTTAACTTATAATTTAAGGTACTTTGCTTTATTATTTTTAATAAGGTAAATGTGATCTTAATGAGTGTTAGTTTATGAGTAGAGATTAAAATAAGTAATTATACATGGCAGATCCAAAAACCGCCATTGCTCAGAGGTTTAGTAATATTTTTAACATCAACAAAATGACAAAAATAGAAGTTTAATATTTTACTCTTCTCTTAATTCCCTATATGTAGTATTCAGTTACACAAGCATGATTTCCCTCTTTTTCTTCTTTTGACTTGTTTGCTTATTATTTTTCCTCAGTTTCATTCTCATGTAATCCATCTAGAACATTTCTCACACATTAAGATCAGTAATGAAACAAATGTAAAAGGTAAATATTTTAAAAATTAGTAATCACCTTTTATTGAGGTATAACAAATGTAATTTAGATCTCGTTATATAAATATTTTATGCAGTATTTGGTTATGTGATGATAATACTCAATTCCTTAAAAAATTTCAAAATTTTGCAGTTTGCAAACTGCATTGAAACATTATGAGTGTTGTGTGATTTTAACTTAACTGCTTAGTGTGTTAGTTCATTTAGATATGATGTGATGTGGCATTTTGTTTAGACTGTTTTTACAATATAGAACCACTTCCTGCAAATTTTCTAATGTTTCCAAAGAAAATAGTTATGAAAGCTTGACAGAGAGTGGCAAATTTTAAAAATTATCGAAGTCTTGAAAAAATTGGAAATTCACAGTTTGGGAATAAAAATTTTTTTAAGAAAAAAATTACAGAGAAAATGTTTCCTAACTGAATGACATTAATCAAGGGTGTGTTATGTGGCCCGCATTCATCAATAACACCTGAAAAAAAATTTTCACCAGTTAATAAATAAGAATAAAGTAAGAAAACAACTTCAGTGTTCTTTAATGAGTGAACCTCTTCTAGCAAATGAAAATTTGAAACATACATCTACTGTAGCTTTTATTATTTCTAAACAGTTAATTTAGCAAAATCTTCTAAAAATAATGAATAAATATTCTTTAGTTCCCTTCCCTTCCTTGTACAAACATTTGTATATTTTCAAATATTACTTTAAATAACTGAAAATCAGCGGTTCTATGATTTAAGAATTAGAACAAAGCTAAAATTATATTATAAATTAATAGACATATTAAGCACTTGAATACTTTGGGAGCTCAGATGATTAGAGTGCGATGAAGTTTCACTTTTTCTTTTTGAATTTATTAATTTAGTGGTTTTAAATTGAGTTCATTTATGATTTAAGATAATTTTTTTAAATATTCTAAATTGAATGAAACAAAAGGAAATAAGTATTAAGCACTTTTTTCAGGTTTAATGTTTTTTTAACTTGCATAAATTGGCTCCATATATTTTTGCAAGGATAGTCACCCTAATTTGATCTTCTGTGATATGGTTATTATATTTCCCTTCATTTTTAATTAATTATTTTTTTCTATTTTCTGTATAAGTGTTCCATGAAAAACTGTAAATTTAAGATCCTAATTACTCAGTATGTTTTTATCAATAAATTTATTAATTAAGAGATGGATTTTTAATTAAATTTTTAAGAATATTTTTTTAAATGATAGTAACTTTATGTATTTTTTATATAGCTGTTCCTCCTGGTAAAAAGCCTGAATTCATCCAAGAACTGGAAAAATGTGATCTAATGGAAGGCCAATCTTTAAATCTTCATGCTAAAGTTACTGGAAATCCTACATCGATTAAATGGTAAATGTTTCATTTAAATATCTCTTTATTTTAACTTGTGCGCAATGCTAAAAAATCCTTCTTTTATTTATTATAGCCAAGATTTAAAAACAGTTTAAGAGAGATTATTGTTTAACAAAATTATAATGATAGTAGATTTAGAAATAAAAATACCTACTTGAAATATGTTCTTGAAGTAATCGTCATTTAAATTAAAAACGGATACAAAATTTATTAGATATTGCTTAGTAATATGTGATATATTATATCTTAAAATTTGTAGGTCTTGTGTCTTATTTACCTGAGCTCTTTTAAATACTAAAAAAAAATTTTCCCTCTTTTTCCTCATATTTGCACATCTTAAAAATTAACAAAAAATGAATAAACAGGGATCTGAACTATATACCTGATGTGTGTATAGATTCTAATGTATTTGGAATTAAAGCAAACTGCAGCATTTGCATATTTTCTCCATCAACCATTTTTGACAAACAGAAATGGTTACCAGACAATGGTTTTAGTGCCAGTAATTGATGAATGGGATGCTAAGTCACACCTCATAATACTTTTACCTTTGTTTTGTGTAACTAGGAATAATCTTCAATAAGGCTGTTTAACTGTGGATTATCTAACTAAATAAAGAATGATCTGTTCCTTTTAATTTTCCATTGGAAAGACTGATAAAAGATTTAGTTTATATGTATTTAAATTTTTATATGCTATGTCTATAATTTTTGTTTATTGCTTATCTAACTAAATATATTCAAAAAGTTTTTGAATACTTTGAGCAAATGTTTTATATTTAATAAAAATATGAAAAATAATGAGTCCTTCTGTGTTTTGTTGGATATCCTGTAGCTAAAATTACACTTTTGATATGGATTCAGTTAAATTTTATTTTGTAGTAGTGTTTTGTTTTGTTTCATTACTCCATAAGAATTTGTTTTAGTAGAATTTATGAAGAAATATCATGTTTTCTTTTCTCAAACTCACTCATATGTATTTAATGGGATTTAAGTCTAGAGAATATGGAGAAGTTCTGATTACTTCAAGACAGATACATAATAACCACAAGTGAAAGTATTTAACTTTGAGATAGTAATTCTGATAGAACTAGAATGTATTTTGCATACCAAGGTTTTATGAAGATGCTTTCAAGTTTTCATTAAGAATATTTATTGCTTGTTTGTTTATTTGATTATGGCAAAGCACTCTAGAACTATCTTCCTTAAGAATGTTTATACATTTATAGTAATGCTTATTATTTTCTTTAAAAACAAAATTTACCATCCTAGAGGCAGTGATTCTTTCTCAAATCATTAAGTCTCCACTTCTATGCTTAACAGTAAGCAACAGATTTCATATTCAAGCCTTGGGTTTTGCTCCATAATATTTTGTCTAACAGACCCAAATATATTAAATTTTGAATTGCCATTAAATATAACATTGTTCTTATATGATAAATATTTGCTTATCAAAGATTTGGAAATGCCAGATGTATTTTCCACTTTTTGGGGGGGGGACAATGATTTTCGTTTTTGTTGATTTCCCATTATATCCATTTGGAGTTTGAGGATTAATTTTATTACTAACAATATATAACGCATCTTATTTTATTTTTTATTATTTAACTTTAACTACAAGCACTGTTGTAAATCTCCTGCAAATTTTACAGCATTAAGTTTTAGGTTTTGTTTGATTTTTCGTAGAATAAATCTCGGATTATTTTGCGTTATCTTGGAGTGTGTTCCTGACTTTAGTATATTTTGAACAGTTTCCATCATTTTAATAACATCAAAAAATAGTCAAATGCTTTACGCCAAGCATATTTTGGATATTTTTATTGCCCTTAAAGTGAATTTAAACTCTTGTTCTTAATTTGCCATGTCCAATTCAAATGTGAAACTGTAAATATATTTTGCTGAAAAAGTAAGAATTTTCAAATATAACTAATTCTTACGAATTTCATTTAAAACAAGAATTTATGCCAAGAAACATCATTTTCCAAAACATCTGAGCTAAACTTTTGAGTGTCCAAATTATTATGTGAGATACTGATTAATATTTTGAATAAATTATTTCATGACATAGAATATTTTGGTGATATTTATTTTGCAACAAGCGGGATTTAAAACAGAAAAAAAAAAAAAAATAAATAAATAACAATAAAAAATAAATAAAATAAAATGTTAGAAAAAATTTGGAATCTAAGTTTCAATATTTTGTATAAGAGTTATGCAAATAAATTTCAAAAATACATGCGTCTAAAAACAAATGTAAGCCACTCTAAGTACTCAAACTGCTGCCAAGCCATTATTACCATACATAAACTTAATATAACTATAATAAAATTTCTAATGTGTTTTTAATTCATTTCTGTTCATCTTATACTGGGACATTTATTATTTATTAGGAAAACTTTTTCATTCCTTTTCAAATATTTTCATTAATGTACTTACTGGCTTTGCCACCAACCGAAGCAGCAAGTGAAAAAAATGTCACCAGTTTTATTTGCTATTGCAGAAAAAAGACTTTCAAAAAATGAAATTTACACAGGCATTCAAAATAAAAGAGCAAACATTGTATTTCTGATGGTTAGGCAAAAGTTACAAAGAACTAAATCTTATAAACACAGGTTACAGACAATAGAACTAAAAACAAAAAGACGACCAAAGTCAGTTCCCCAGTATCTCAACTCTTCTGTAAGATCACGAAGCATTCTACATCAGAGCAGGTGATCCCTGTCCATTTCTTGATCAAAATTTGAAATACCTATGTACAAGTGGTGCAAGTGGGTGGCAAGGCAATCATGTCCTGAAGACAGACAGAAAGCTGCAATTGTTTTGCATCTTGGATTATAGGGAATAAGAGAACGACTTAACATTATCCAAATTTTTAAGTATGAGTCTGTATGAGACTGTATGAGTCTGAAGATCTCGTAAAATATTAGACGTAAATAAACTTTTTAAAAACAGTTTAATCTTCCAATAAGAAATGGCTGTATTACGATGTTGTAGTAAGCTGGCACCTCTTTTTGAAAGTAAGTCTGCTTGTTCATTGCCCCAAAGGCCACAATGGCCAGGCACCCACTGGAGAATGATTGTCTCCTTTTTAAAGTGAGAGTTCTCAGGAATTCTTGACATTGCAAAATTTCAGGTTTTAATGAGTGTTCGGCAGAGCTAATTGATTGAAGGGCTGCATGAGAATCAGAAAAAATGACTGCCTTTGCAAATTTATAATGAATAGCTAATAATTGCTGTAGGGCTATACAGATGGCTTCTACTTCATCATCAAAGTATGTACCAATGTATCCTGAAGGGGCATAGAAAGAAAAGATATTTGAAACCACACTATCAGGTTCAATGTTTTCTTCTAACCTTCTTCGGAAACATACAATGACCTGACTAGAACAGAGAGCTTACTAAAGCTATGTTCACTAATTGTAGTAAGTAGACAGGATACAGACGAAGGGTATACAAAACCCTTTATTTTTTTTCTTTATATACAATGACTTCCGTACTTCGGAATACAATGACCCTCCACTCGGGGTCTAACTTAAAAGATATCAAAATAAAACTAAACTCTAATTTAACTTTAGAATAAGATTGGCCTTATAATAACAGGAAGCGTATGTAGCACAGAGACTGTGAACACTACAATACGTTTAATTTATCAAGAGGATTAAAACCTCTGGCCTGGAAGGCAAAGTAGCAACTGCGTAACTTCTAAGGTAAGCGGCCTGCTTCGAACTCACGGCTTCCTCTCTTCTGCTTGGCAAAAAGGCCACACTTAAATACTTGGCGTTCGCCAGACAACTTTGCATAAACTCCTTCACGCTTATAATTCTGGCCGGAAGTAGAAAATAAGAAGTGATAGTAAAGATTTAAAATAAAATAAACGTTAGTAAAACTTAAGATCCTTACATACTTCCCGCCAGAGTTAATTAGTTTGAAACTGAGGTCTAAAACGACCTTGTTGAAAACTTTTAGCTCTAGAATCTAACGCGAGGCCAATCTTTTACAAACATAACTTAGCTAGAAACTAGAAAATTTTAAAAGAAAGAAATTTGTTTTTACAATAGCAGCTCCCGGAATATACAACAATCTTTTTCTTTTTCATCTGTACTGCATCTAAAACAGGAGCTTTTATTCAATTCTGGTTCCTTCCAGAGATCTGGAAGGAAAACTAGTTTAATGAAATGTTACAGAATGACAATTGGCAAATAACATATAGAATATACTTTTCTCTTAACATTCTTATTTCATTCATGACTATTTTAATTATCTCTCCCCGTGCTCTCTGACATGTGTTGTAAAAAACACCAAACACGAATGTGTTTCTGTCTATGTGTTCAACACTTCCTCCTACAATCAAAACACTAACGTGTTAAAATTCAACATACGAGACCTCTTAACACACCCTAATTTCAACTCTAAACCCTGAGGTACTATTCTGAAAGTGGCTAACTCTAAAGTGTAGCGTCAGAGAGCCTAACTACATCATTCAACCTTTAACACATATTCACCATGATTTAATCTTTTTACACAGTCACACGAATAACAAAATTTTTAACATTACTTTCACTTTTACCATATCACGGTATTTCTTAACATTTAAAATAACAGTTCACATGTATATAAGAACATATCAACATGCCGTTAATTTTACACATTTGAAAACATACATTAGTAGTACATTGTTAACTTCTATTCTTTTCAAAGCAAGTGCCAATTCTTCTCTACATTGAAATAATACTACATTTCAAAAAGTCTTTCAGACTAAAACTTCTTTCTTGCCAGAATGTTTTAAATAAAATTTATACAATATTTTAAGTCTTTAAGTACAACGCTATTATACATCAACTTTAGTTTTACGCGCGAGTAATTGAAAAACATATATAAGAAATCGGTAACAACTCATTTCTCGCCCTTTTGGCGATAAAGGTAGACCTCGCATGAGGTAAAACTTCTTGAAATCTGCCACTTGCAGTAAGAATGAAAGATTAACTTAAGTTTGCAAAG